TAACAGTGCCGTATCCTGCATAACATTAAGGGTGTGATTTCTCATTTTAATGTTAACCATTTCGGATGTGAGTCTCTTACAATAATTATGTTCCTGATCTAAAATTTTGGTCGAGTTCCAATTAAAAGTATGTCCCGTCTCTATGCAATGGCGGTTGTGTCTGACCATATTATTGTAAAATTATGTTGTAATACCTTTTATCTTCATATCAGATATTCCACTGATGATGACTACATAATAAAGTCGAAACGTTTGGAATAAATCGTTTACAAAAAATGTAATGCATAATACCTTGCAACCGGTTCGAAAGCCCGTTACTTACCAATCAATTGATTTTTTACGAACCANAGGACTCCTCATTACATTTCAATATATTAAATAATTTTACTTTTTTTATATTTGTATAATTTTATAATTTTTTATATTTTTTATAACAATGTATAAACGTATAAGATTTAATATAAGATTTGGTACAAGATTTACTTGGCCCTACTTTTCTTTATTATTTTTTGTTTGTAGAATCAAGAGGCACGGTAGTGCCTCGCGCCAAGTATATGCGCAAACGAAGTGCGCGCGCGCTGCGCGAGGTACCCCGTGTCTCTTATACGCGAGATTTAACCAAGAGATTTTCCGATCTCAACAACGGCTACACCGATCGAGTTCGTAGTAGACTCAATCGAAAGTTGAGATCGAGGCACGAAAAAACTTAGTTCACGATTTTTTTCCTCCGTGCCTTCCCAACGGAGATATCTCGATACAAAGTCCGAAATGCCGAAAAACTAGGTTCTACAAATTCGTCCACGTCTTGGGACAATGCTTGAGCGTACTTCGCCTCTTGTCGCAGCCAGATGACAACACTTTCGTGTAGATATAGGCTGCGTTCCAAGTTATGCATATGCGCGCATTTATCTATAGTACACGTTACATATAGTATAGAGAAATACGTGATATGCGTAACTCGGAACGCAGCCATAGTCTCGCGCCAAGTAGAACTGATAGTAAACATTTTTTGTGTTTAGTAATAATAATACAATATAATACAATATAATAATACATATATATTTTTTAATTTATTTTAACATTCTACATTTAACGATACGTAGTCTGTTTTTGTGTTTTATAATAACACAATGTAATACAATAATATATATATATAATACAAGTATAAAAATAAGTAAAAAATATTATTGAGCGTACTCTCTCATTATTAAATTTGTTAAATAAAAAATAAACACTACTAACTATAAAATAGATATACTATCCTATGTTAATTCGGTGATTGGACAGTTCCATAAAATATATTTAATATTTTTAAAATATTTATTTAATATTTTTAAAATATATTTAATATTAATAAAAAATATTTAATGTAAAAATACTTGGCGAGGCTGCAATCTTTAGTTTTTGGTGCAGCCGCGCCAAGTTTTTTTACATTAAATATTTTTTATTTTGTAACATTCTACATGAGTTTTTGACATTTCACACAATTTCACAAATCAAAATCTATATGTATGATTCGACATAGTTTAAGATTTTCTACGCAAGGTGAAGTCATTTCCTACATCAATGAGTACTTTATATAAAAAGTGCAGTGGTCATACAATATTTGAACCTTTTTATTGATTTAGAATATTTTCTATTTTACAACGTATAAACAACTTACAAAGTTTTATATATTTTATTTATTTTTGTACCCATGTATAAAAGATTTTACTTGGCGTAACTTATTGATATCATTTCTTTTGTAGAATAGATCTTGTAGAAGAAGATTGTGATAGTAATACTTTTTATAGAGATACGAGTTGCGCATGTACTTGGCGCCTTTTTTTACCTTTTTTTGAAAAGATATTTTGTTCGTAGAAATAGTACATAAAAATGTTTTTATGTAGTACAGTAATACTTTTTCTAGAGATATTAGTTGCGCGTGTAGTTGGCGCCTTTTTTTTTAACTTTTTTTTAAAAAAGTCTTTTGTTTGGGTAAAATCAGATCCGAAATGGCACGATCTGATTACTTATATATAATTATATATGATCATATATTTCTATTTTTTCTTGGGCTGTAATTTTTGGTATGTGTATTTGCTTTTGCAGAGAATAACCTTTATATATAGTGTTGTTTTTCTGGTAACCTTGATACATCTCATGATGAGCTGTTTATCACCAGCTGATGACGTATTGGTTTTCAGGTACAGGTTCTTTTCTTCTAAATCTTTATTTTCCAGCTGCTTCTCACTTTGAGCCTGTGGTATTGAGTTCATTTGTAATTCTGTAGTCACCTGTTATTTCATAATTTAGTTCAACATCTAAGTATGATAGTACATATTTTTTTTGAATAGACTTTAACTGACTGCAGACTCGCTGATTATCCAGTATGATGGCGGGATACATTTTCTTCTATTCGGCATGCATTCTTACCTTATATTTTTTGCTTTCTGTCTTTACTCTTGTAGTAATGCGATACGCACGCATTACAGAGATATTCATCTCTTTGGTTCATTTTATGACTATTTAGACTTAGACTTAACATGATAGAAAATCCTAAAACAGGTGTGATTCTCAAGTTACTTTGTATTAAGACAAACAGTGCTGCTGCTATTACGATAGTCATAAGTGCGGCGTCACGCCTAGCCTGCTAGTCTGTATTAGGTTAGATTAGGTTAGGTTAGGTTAGGTTAGGTTAGGGTTAGGTGTGCCATCATCTACTGACACAAGTAGCATATTTGACAGTTATCCGGGTGTCAAAACTTTCTGCGCGGTTTTGCAAGGACTGCTTACAACTTTATTTCTCGTCTACTTTCCTAATAGGAAAACATTTATAAAATTATGTGACAAAATTTTACATTAAAACCCACACAAAACAAAAACTCCATTAGACATCTATTAGACGTCAACAGCTCTATGCGACATCTAATAGATGTCTAATAGATGTCTGAATGGATGGATGTCTGTGTAGGAATTGTAATTTGCAATTATATAGATATATTTTAAGAAATAGATATAAAAACATTGATTTTTTATAAAATATTTGTAACTGTTTGCAAAATTAATTTCGAAATACTATTTCGGCAAAAGAATAACAATATGGCAAATCATCTTAGCAGTATATTTGCAAAATTACTTTTGAAAAGAAATTGTCTAATAAGTGAGAAAAAACTTTTAGCTNTGTGCTGTTTAAAATATGTAGAAACCCACACAGAACAAAAACTCCATTAGACGTCTATTAGACGTCAACAGCTCCATGCGACATCTAATAGATGTCTAATGGATGTCTAGATGGATGGATGTCTGTGTGGGAATATAATTGGATATGAAAAATCAACGTATTTCATGTATATACTTATGGAAATGCATAATGACTCTTTTTCAATTTTTGACAAATATTATTTACAAAATTTTATTTTAACAAAACTTTTGCGTTATGGCAAATCATCTTAGTACAATCATTGCAAAATCGTCATCATTCATGACGCCAGTTTTGTGCAATATTTTCGCAATTTGCCTATTGGAGTTGTATTGGACTTTGCCAGTTTTTATCCCACATGAAGTATTTAATTTCCTCTCCATCTTTTTACTAAACAAGTGTGAGTATTTTCTACTCGCAGAAAACACGCTTGATAGAAGAACTGACAAATATTCTTACGGGTTATTATCAATAATAATAACATTATTATTAATATTATTAAATCCAAAAATATATAAATATTATACAGATGTGCAAATTGTGTAAGATTATTTTCGTGGAACATTTTTCTCAAAGTACAATTTTTCTTTTAGAATTGCCAGTACAAATATGTAAAAACATAGATCTCATAGTATCTGGTGGCGTACAGATTTGGGGTGTGAAAGCTACTTCAATCACCCGCCGACAAATAAACGCAGATCCCGTTATTGAGGAACACAGATTCGTGGCGCATCAAGATCGTGAAAAGATTTCTTTGCACGAAGCAATACGTATATCAACGCAAATCGCACTGGAAGATCACCAAATTACGAAAGTAAAAGCCATCGAACTGGTGGAAGATGCAGATATCGTGAGCACAGAAGAACTAGCAATTCCGGCAATAATTGAAGCTTGCAATAATTTGCCGTTAGTACAGGCAAGTGTTACTCTAATGACATCGCTGACTCGTTTTAACGCATCAGACTTGCCACCGAACGTAACAATCGCGGATTTAAAGAAACACGTAGACACCAAAGTCTTAATGGTTATCGGATTTAATCTTTTGTCGAAGCGACGATCACTAGAACAACTTTTACTCTTTCTTGAAGAAGGTGGTTATTTATTATCGCGTGAAAAACATGACGTAACAGAAGTAACAGAATCTTATCGTGTTTTTTCTGCATTAATCAGCAACGATAATTTAGAACAATATGGATTAAATGTTATTCTTGAAAAACGTACTGAAAAAGAAATAATCGTGCTTCTAAAAAAACGAATTACAATCAAAGAAACAACTGTTGTTTATATTAACAATAATAACTTTGAATGGGTGGAAAACTTGAAGCTATTTATAGACGAAAAGGAAACATTTAATCAGAACAAAAGAATTGTAATTGTTAGTGAAAGCGATTTTGAGTGCGGTTTATTGGGCTTTGTTAATTGCTTGAGAAAAGAGCCTGGTGGCGAGCTCGTTAGAGGTGTGTTCATTCAAGACAAGACTGCTCCAAAATTTTCTTTGCAAGATCCCTTCTATGCGCAACAGTTGCAGAAAGATATGACAGTCAATATTTTGCGACCTAATAAAACTTGGGGTTCTTATCGACATTTCTGTTTGCCAGCTCCGGAACCCGCATTTGTTCCCGCTGCTTACGTGTGTCAAACGGTAGGCAAAACATTCGCAAATTTTGAATTTAATTATAATGTTGCGATATTTTTGTTATTTCTAACAATTTAACTATATCATATTTCTTATACAGGATCGTGGTAACCTAAGTACTTTTTGTTGGATAGAGAATGATATATCCATCGACTCTCATTGTAATGATTTAGTACGTGTAGTTTATTCGTCCATCAATTTTAGAGATGTAATGTTGGCAACAGGAAAATTAACTACTTTAGGCATCGAAGAGCGATTCGAAAGTATGTCTCTTGGATTGGAATACGTAGGATTTGATGCCAAAGGACAACGAGTAATGGGAGTACGCAACAATAAGTACGCAACAATATATAATAAGTTATACATATTTATGCTCATGAAAAAAAAAATATGTTATACAATGATCAGTCATACATATGTGTACTTTAAGGTGCATCGCAAATGTCGTTTTGAAAA